ACATAATTGTAGGAAGAAACTCATTCTGTATAGGTTGCCTTTTTCCAACATCAAAATAAAATGGGATTCTGCGCATATAAGTACACTCTTCTGGCCTTGCTGAAAGATGCTTTTTAAATATTTATTACTGAATAGTTTTAGGGGAAAAGATACATTTGGTTTTGCAGTCATGCACTATTTTCACAGCAAATGGACACAAACAGTGGCATCTACAACATAAAGGATGTTGATTTTTTCCATAAGTAATTAACCAGAGTGCGGACTCATCACTTGGCATTCTGCCAGCACTACTCAACTCTAAATTTTAAACATCCTTGTTCTTGATATTATGTGGAAAAGATTGAGCAATTAATGAATGTTGGTAGACATATAACTGCCCATTTTTGTTGACACTTCTCCCTGTGACCTGATATGTTTTCTTTCTAGTGGAGTTAACTTCATTCTTTATTCATTCAAAATCCTACAGAGTTTCTTAAACACTGAATGTTATTATTTCCTAGTAGCCAGATGCCTTGGGTAAGTAACAATTTTGTTGCTTTGGGTAAATCTCCTTTCCCATCTCAGGTCCCACTCAACAGAAGAAATTACCAACAACGGTTTCTTATGTGTGCTTTCAGAAATGGTCTGTGTGCCCATGTTTATACTGCTCTTACAAAGCCATATCTTCTACTTGAATGAAAGTATGATTTCCTACTTTGTATCATAAAGATCATTCTATACCAGCGCTATACAACTGCTTTATTCTTCCAAAGATTTTGCCAGTATGCTCTCAAAATAAGTGAAAAAAGGAAAATTGTATGTGCGATATGATCACCACTATGAATGAATACATAGGGGGAAAATTCCCGGTGGGAAGCACATCGAAAGGGTGTTGGTATGATCATTAATTTTTCTTTCTGCTTTTCACTTGTTGCTATGGCATATCATTACAAAATCCCGAAGGATTTTAAACGTTTGAATTATAAGGGTTTATTGGCTATTGAAGACTGCTTTGTCTTCACAGTGCAGACTTCCCTGCTTTGGTTGTGAAGGCCAGCGGTCTTGCAGCTGGGAAAGGGGTGATTGTTGCACAGAGCAAAGAAGAGGCCTGCCAAGC